TTATTCTCATTGGCACCTTTATAAATCAAAGAGGAAACAATGTATTTCAAGGAGGTGATTTTTCTGTATGCCTACATTTGGCTGAGATGACCCATCTGATGGGAGATGTCTGCTTTCCTCCAGTTTTTCTCTTCCCACACAAGGGTCTGGAATAATGATGCTCATTGATTACAACAATTCTGGTTTTATACAATCCTATTTCATGTTCTGAAAGTTTGTGAAGTTTAATTATATAGATATGTCTTGTAGGTTACTGTATTAGATTGCTCCCCTATCCCTCAAATACAGGATATCTAAAAATTTAGGTAACCAGGAACTGCAGGTGCAATTTTATGAACACTTTTTCTCCTTCTAGGTTAACAAAGAGATATCTTTTTCTACCTTTGCCTGTAATTTGAAAGCTCCAAATTATCCACTTTCTGAATATCATAAGTGTTTGATTTCAGAACAGAGAAATTGTTTTTTATTCAATGCATGTTTGAATCTTGGAGTTATATTCTAAATTAAATTCCTGTCATATTTATTGGAAATTAATGTTTGTGGGGCCAGTTCCTTCTAGGCAATTCTCAATGGGTAGAGATGCATCTTATCCAGCTTAAGTAATTCTGCCTGAACTAGTCATTTTAAGCACTTTTGCAATCAATGGAGAGAAACACATTTTTAAAGTGTGATTTATTTCACCTATTAACGTGATGAATCATGTCCTGGAAATAGTGATTTTTCTACTCTGGCTATAAGAAAATCCTTTGGATGTATAATTCTGATGTGGACATTTTTGCAGTAGAACCCCCTTTATTACAACATGAATATTTATCCATTCAGCCTGCTATAGCAAGTCTTCTTTCTCTTTCACCTTTCAAATGGAATAAATGGCCATTTAAAATTAACTGATATGCTGGAAAAATATACAGATATACAAACAAGAAAAAACCTAAGCCAAATAGTCTTTTTTGACACTATGTCTATATGTGAGTTTTTCCACAATGTGACTGAAATGTGCCACACAAACCTTCGCAAAATTGCACTCAGAAACATTTTACTGTTAAATAGAAGAAAAAACTCAAAAAGTGTACATTAGGTAATAGCAACCAATGTTGGTGGTTTTTTTCAATAACTGCTGAGCAAGGGTGATTTACTCCTGACTTGGTTACAGAACACATTTTTGACTGAAGTGATGCAAAAAAAGATAATTTCCATATAAAGAGGATCTCTACAAGTTAGCATTTCCCATACTTGCCAGCATTATTAAGTATTAATGGATATCACACCTATTCTCACTATTTATATCATTCATTGGACAACTGAGTTTAATATGGTCAAGCTTAAGCAACCTGAAGTAAAATATTTTTAAATTCAGGCTGTCCCATCACACAGGTGGGTTGTTAGATAATAATTTCAAATAGCTAGTGGCCTACAAAAAGGTATCTAATATCATCTGGGATACTTTAGAGCCCATTCAAACTCCTGTTACCACTCCATAACTTCATCTGTGTCATATGTGCCAGCCCAGTGTGGATGACTTAGATAATTTTGGGCATCTCACTCAGTATCAAGTACTTATGCGGGGGTGGCTAAACTGAATGCTCATCTGTTTCATGGAAACCTCTCACCTTTGAAACATAATTTCTTCCTGGAGGCCATCAAACTTATAACATTTTTGTTGGGGACACTAGAAAGAGTTCACTAAAGATGCCACCAGACTTAACACACAACCTGGGCCACCTAAGAAAAGAACACTGAACATGAACCTGGTTCACAGGCCTAAATCTGAGCAGTACTAAACTTCTGCAAGAGAGGATTATCATCATTATTATATTATCATCATTATTTTAATTTTTGTGCATTTTTAAATTGTCATAGGAAATCTGGGAAAGTGTGGGGTGATAGGAGTGTAAGGTGCTTGTATCTCAGCTTTGACTACTTTTGCAACTCTTAGCAGGTGATGAATTTGGCAGCTGCACAAATTCCTCAAGGTAAAGATGTGAATAGCCAGTGACTCGAAGCTGTCTTGTTCCCTGTCACCACAATTCTTACCTGTGCTAGCAATTTTCTTTATGGTTTAATGTCTGACAGCTGTAGTCCTGCATGTGGAAATCAAGTTTATGCTGATATAATCATTTTCAGTGGTTTCTCTATCCCAGAGTGTACCCAGTCCCCGTGAACTATGAAGCAGTACTATAATGAGGGAATTTGCAATGAATTGCAAGGTTATGCCAATTTGAGCAGCTTTACATTGGATTTAGAATAATGCTGAAGAATAATTATTCTGCTGAAAATTTTATGCATTCTCATTTAAGTTAGAACAGATATACTGCATGGATAATCTGTTTTTAAAGAAATATATCTGGAGTTACTTTAACATATTGAGATTCTAAGCTGGAAGTAAGCCTGCATCGCCTAGTGTATGCTCATTTATTTGATACAGTAAATGTAAAAAATCCAATAATTTGATATTTTAGAATTTAAATGATGGAATCTATTACTGCTATTTGAAAGAAGTTACAAGAGCTTTTATGAAGTCTTTGTGGAAATGCCTTCTTTATTTATTCCTCATGAAATAAATAATGTAAATTCATAGATAACATAGGTCTTAGGTCACATTTCTTTCCCCAGCTCATTGTGGGCAAAATAATAAGGAAAGTTTCCAGAATGCAAATTCTCTTTTGGAAAAAGTGTATTTCATTCCTAATCACAATTTAAAGCTTTTCTGGTTTTTGCTCATGGACATCAAGTCTGAGCCATTGAAACTTGCATATAACTTGCATAACTCAAATTTCTTTTGTGAGTTACTTTTATTGAAATAATAGAAAATGTTTAAGACATAATCATATTTATGGGAATTTATATGGGCCTTCTAAACATACTGAAAATATCTGAATAATACATAGAGATAAGATTATAGATATAATAAATATATATTTCTAGATATATTTTAAGTTCTTTTAAAATAATGGTCAATTGATACCAGGTTTCTTTAGAAGAAAATGGTATCCAAGGAAATGATGCTTTGTCTATGCTAAAAATTGTTCCCTTACATCAATTAATGTTAGCTTAACAGAGTAAAATTATGAGGCAGGCAACTCCCTGAAAGCATCCTAATATTGTCTTAATAATTGGACAAGTTTGATATGAATAAAAAGTCTGTTCTCTATGTAAAATGATTTTTAAAAATTTACTTCTGATTTTTAAACAATATCAGTATTTTGATTGCAAGAACATGTATTAAAATAATTATTGAACAATTGTAACTAAAGCCAATGAAATAATATTCATAGCTTATTTGTGACTGATAACAATGTAAAACTTTCCTATAAAATTGGATGTAGTGTCAATACGAAAGAGCTTGACTAAAGAATAGGTATTAATTGACATGTTCAGATATGTAGATATACAAGGGTTCCAACTTTTTAGGAAATACCTACATTTCAAGGAATTTATTCATCGATTTCAGTAAAATTAATGTTTGTTGCGCCACTGATTTCCCTGTGATTTTTGTACTTTGCAATCAAAGAGATCATGTGAGAGAAAATAAATCATGTTAGATGGACTAGTTTACCTGTTTTTTGAAAAGACAGCGCCTTTCTTAATAAGTAAACTTAACATTGTTTAGCACAATTTAGTTCATCAGAAGTGATTTTAACTCTTATACATAAGAAAGTATAAGATGGTTTTAATGAACCTCAGAAATCAAGACTACAATTACATAGTACTTGGATTTAAAGACATTTTCTTTGAGGAAAAGGTAAAACTATTATAATTTTTAGTGAAAGTAACCATAATAGTAAAGAAGAAAGATTTAAAATTTTTCATAAATTCTCTTTAGAAGAAACTTGTAACACTTGTATAAATAGAAAGCCAATTTTGATTCCTATTGTGGCTAGATTATACATAATCAAAATAAAACAAATACAAATTTTATTGTTTCAAAATAAGAGAAGTGGAATAGACTAAAAAAATAACATGAGAAATATTTTGGTAAAATAAAAGCAAATTGAGAAAGTAGAAAAGGAAACTGAGAATCAGAAATGAAATGAGGATAAATGGAAGAAAATAATGATCAAGGCACTTTAAACAAATTTGGCACAGAATGAAATTAATAGGAATAATCCAACTTTGAAGATCTGTGCACAGGTAGAGCAATAATATTTCTATTATATATTGATATAATGAAATCAAAAGAAAGTTCTGGGAATAGAATTAAAATTCAATTTCTAAGTTCTTTAGCTATCTCTAGGAGTTCTGAATGTCAATATCTATATTTAATTATAGTTATAATTTTAGAATCTTGTTCATTTGGTCTCCAAAACTTGTGCTTATGTGAAGCAAAATCTTTAGAGAGGTAACATTTCTATTCAACAGCTTGTTGTAGTTGGAAAAAAATTCATATGTTTGTCTGTGAAAGACTAATTGCAACTCAAAAGGCAACTGGCTGTGGAAAGTTAATGTTGAAGTGTTTTCAGCTGATCCCAAATTAGGATAGAGAAGTATTTAAAAGATTTTAATTCATATACCTAGGCTGCACAATTGCAATTCAGCTTACGTCAGTAAACAAGGACCTCTATGCATACTGACGCAGTTAGAAGGAAAGACACACTTTCAAATCAAATGTCTCAGGATGGAAGTTCTACATATTTTTTCATCTCAAATGATTGCAGAGGTTTCCCCTAAGAAAACTCATTTTAGTGCAACCAGATTTCCTTCTCAAAATTGCTAGTGACAGAGATTGTGAAGTTTTGGCTTTTGCACCATAAATTGTTTCCTATAGGATCAACAAGGCCTTAGAGAAGTATATTTGGTGCCCTGTTCCCAGAAGCTGTGCATCCCTAAGTAGCAGAATTTCATATTCCAGAAGTACCCTTAGGTTCTAACAGATTCAGCTGAGCAGACAGAAAGCATCAGCACCAAATCTACTGCCAAATCAAAAGCTCAAACTATCATTACTGGCAGAAATTATCAACCCTAAAGGGAAGCACAGACAACAATATGACCATATGAAATTTATTAGATCAAATTGTCTAATTTTCCTTATTCCACTTGCATTTATTCTCATTTCCTGACTTGCAGTTATTCTCAGTCATAAGTGGAAAGTAATAAATTTGCAGCTCTAAGTAGGCAAAATTGTGTATGTACAAGCATCAGAAAGAAATAAGATGTAGGAATTTTCTCCCCTTGAAATGTTACAAGAGTCTCTATAGACTGTTCTTGTCACGGTCCATCCATTAACGTGATGCAGCAAAATAAGGGGATTAATTTTCCAGCTTGTCATGAGCTTCCAACATGCAGTAGATGCATTAAACAATGAGGTTAGAGCCCACATGCTTAAATTGAATATAAGATTAAGAAAGAATTAGGTAACTGTTTCTTTGACTCCCATATTTGCAACAAAGCCCCAGTGCAGGCACAGGACTGCTTTATATTACTTGATTAAACACACAGGCTTCCCCCTCAACAGACTAATTTATAAGATACATTAATGCAGGTGAGTAGGTACAACCTGAAGTTACAAAAAAGTCTACTTTTAGTTTTGTGTTTCTTCCTGCTTTAGAGTCACAGCTCAGTCACTATGAATACCCAGACCATTTGACCTCTTCCTTTCAGTAAAGTCAAACTGCTCATTTAAATGAGAAGACCATAACCCATTTGAAGACAAGACTTGAACAGCAAAAAAAATTATATTACTACCCACTTTTCTCTTTTAAAAAACACAATTTAAAATTGATTAAATAAACTTTCACATTTCTGCGGTTCTCTTGCAGCCATGAAAACTGTTCTCATATTCCTTTCCACTCTTTGTGTAGGTTTCCCATGATTGTCCAGTTCTCCAGGACACATTCATGAGAACAATACCTGAACTTACTACTCTACATTCACAAATTTACGCCTACAATACTCTGGGGCTTGTTCCTTGTTCACTGACTGTGAACGGTTTTATGATTTTATAGGGCATAAATACTTAATCTTCGTCACTTCCAAACATCTTCAAGTTTGTGATCAACAGTGTATTCACTGTGTAGATCCTTGTTCTTGTGAAGTTATCATTCTCTTTGTCTCGTAGAAAAATAATAATTTCACAGTCAGTAAAATCCTAAGCAGGGCTGACAAAGTCACGGTTGTTTGATGACTACAACACAGGCACCAGCCCTTCCAATATTTAAGGAAGCCATCTGCAGAAAAACAGAGACAAATTAACTGAATAGGAAAAAACCATGTAAAAGATTGCCAAACAGGAACAAGCCATGCAAAGATTGTCAAAGCGCTGAGTCAAAATTATTTTAAAATGGTCAAAACTAATGGGAGTATAAATTGCTGAAAATAAACAAAACCCACATTATGCTACTATTGTAATTTAAAATTGCTTACTCACACCTGGCATCTTTCATTTGAAAGATGTGAGAACAGGAAGCAGGAATTAATTTTAGAGTTGTCATCAATTTTGTGAACAATTGATATGCAAGGGGGTTCTATATTCTGTAGACTGTGGCTGTTGCTTCCACTCTAGTCCTTGAGGCAAGGTGAAAGCTATGAATGTACAGAAATTATTCCAGTATTCCTAAACAGGTTCACGCGTCTTTTAATTCTAAATATTTTTGACAATTTAAAACAGTTTTCAAGACAACAAAAGGATTAAAACCTTCAGGGGATTGAATCTCACTGAAACTATCACAGTAGAGTTAGTTTATATGTATGTAACCACAATCTGTAATTGATGCAACTGTATAAATCACAACATTGTTTACATGTCTCCCAACTACCTGTCCAATCATGTTTATTAATGGTTTTTAATGTGATCTGGTGGTTTTTCAAAAAGAAAATACTCCCAAATTAATTTTGTATCTCTTACAGAACATCATAAAATGCTCTTCCCAGTAATTCAGAGTAGATTAAAAAATATGGCCTTCTGTACTAACTTTAAAGCATTTGTGTCTACATTCAAGCTTGTCAACAGAAGTTCCCCCTTGCAATCATAAAAAAGAAGTGGGCATTCTTGAGTATAATAAATCTCACCTATTTTAAATGCTTATTTTAAGATCATGATTCTGAAGTATGAACCTTTCTGCACTAGGTTTAAAGAAAGCTTGGCTAATGGCTAATTCATGCATATAAATGTGTATATGCATGTGTGTGTGCACATGTGTATATATAAAATAAACTTTACAATTACCTGTGTCCACTCATTAGTTTGAGGGTCATATGCCTCCATAGTGTTCAGGTATGATTGACCATCGTAGCCACCTACTGCATATAATTTGTCACCAAGGAGACAAACACCAACAGCATCTCGAGGCATACTCAGTGGAGCCACCATTGTCCATGTATCAGTTTTTGGGTCATACCTGAGCAAAGAAAAATGAAACTGGGTATGTGCAGAGAAGACAAGCATCAATTCATGTTGATTTTCACTTGAATATAGTCCTTTTTTTCCTGGGGGGAAAAAATCAAACCTTTAGTATCCTACCCAAAATAATTCTTCCTAACATCAAAAAGAAAAGATACAGATTTATTGTGTTGCCAATTCAACCCTCTAGCTGCTGATTAGAAACTTTTGCTCAGGACCTTCGAGAATAAACTAAGATATTTGTTGGATAGTGTGTCATAAAGAGATCTGATATATAAAGATATATGACCATAAAGATATGCGCAATATCTGAATGGATGGGTATAACATTTTGTTTATCTGTTATGTATACATTTAAAGTGGGGTATTCCCTATAGCACGTTTAAAAGATTAGAAATATTATTTCTAAAATTAAATTTCACTATATTTCAATTTCTGAAATTATACTGTACAACAGTAAAAATCTCACTATGTATTCTAATGCTTAACTGCATTACAGTTAGTGTCTCCTCCTGATATTTGCTCAACTAGATTAAATAATACTGTTTCTTATACATAATCACAACTGAATTTCTAAAACTGAGGGTAAAAATCCTTTTGTATAATGATGGTAATTTAAAAATTAAATATTTAACCTAGGTTTTCATTTAGATAGTCCTTAACACAGTAAAATTGTTTAATTTCTGAAGTCATTCCATTGTAACTCTTTTGGACAGGCATAAAGGAGGAAATTATTATTATTATTAATTATCTTTTGATAGTTTCTTACCAAGGATGTCTGGAGTATTAGGTTACACTGGATACCTTATTTTTAGATGTCAAATATTGCTGAAACAGAATAGTGCATCACAGTATAACAGAATTAATTTAATCTGTCCTTAAGCAAGTTTACTATGTAATAGAATCATGTGATCAGTGGAGAAAAGAAGAAGTTTCAGTCTACAAATCCTCTAAAAAGCCTGACTTTATTAGTTTGCTTAAATGTAGTAAGTCATATTATCAATAAGCATCTTGGAGGGATACTATCTGAAGTCCTACATATCTGAACAAAGAAATATTTTATAAATATATATTATATATATATATTAATACAAGCACTGAAACAGCAATGCTAGTGTTTTGCTTGTAATAGCCTTTTGGTTCATAAATCTAACTTTTAAATTGGATGATAAAAGAATTGTTTGTGACCTTGTTCATATTGTTCTTGAGACGTAAATACATTTTAAGAAAACAATCTACTTGTGTGCTAGCTGCCAATCCTGGCATTTGGGAGACTTCTCAGAAAATAAAATCTCAAATATCTAGATATATGATAAATGTCTTTCCTAACTTTAGAGGAAAATACTGCAAAATATTGCTTGAATGTGTGGAAGGGAACTGACCATGTAACAAGCCCAAAAAAAAAAAATTAATGGTTTTTTTTTCAAAGACTGTGTGGGTTTTTCAACAACAGCATCATATGCCTCTAGCTGAAACAGTTTCCCATCCAGTGAAATGCACCAGTGTGCATTGTATCTTCACCTACCTAAAGGTAATAAATGTTTAATAGACTCCTCCATACACTCTTAAATTACAAGGGCCAAGGTGAGGAGGTGCAAAAGTTAAAGCTGGAAAACAATAAAACTGACATCATCATTTGACCTTTTCTTTTTCTTTCTTCTTCCCATAAACAGGTATGCAAGGCTAAAATGAATGCTTATAACTCAGTTCTGTCAATGAAATAGAACTGCACAGGAACTTGTCGGTTTTGCAACTGCCAGGAAAACACCTGAGATTTCTTACATCCTTTTTGCTGCTAAAAAGCAACTGTATATGTCATCTTTATAATAACTAGCTATGCCCCCGGCTGAACAGGGTTATGATAAAAGCTCCTAAACGTGGGAAGAAATCAATTTTGAAATCAAGATGAGACAAGGGGGGAAAAAACTATAGGTCAAATGACTATGTTTTTACCATTTGTCAAGTTTTCAGTAACATGTGAGAAAGAAAACCTGCTTTATGAAACCGGCCAAAATATCTTGAAAAATTTGTAATTCTTATGAAGTAGTTGTTTTGCCTTTAAAAAGGAAGAGAAGATTGCACTTTGCCAACTTGTGAAGATGAATGAAATGTAACTATTATTTCAGAATGCTTGAATCTAGACAAAATCCTTTCTAAATGAATCAACCTTACAAGGAAGTAAACTGCAATACCTAACTACTATTGAGCAGTACTTAAGCAGTAGCATTAAGAAAACATGTATCTGCTGCCTCCACTACATTTGCACAACCTCAAAAATAAATTTTAAAATATTATGTTTGGTTTGACAGTCTTCCAGGAATAAACTGGTACTGGAATAAAGCACATCCTACCAGTCTGCATCAGAATGACAAAATGACTGAAGCAGACTCATTCCTGAAGAAGAACAGAATTAAAAAGCAGGCCATCAATACTTACGGAAAGAAAAACTTTCAGAGAGATATAAAATTACTCAGATAATAGATCTCCTCATCACTTACTATTCTTTGTTTTCCTAAGATATTGAGGAGCTTTTATTTTTTTTTAAGTGATGCGTTATTTTGGAATAAAAAACCAGACACACTTAATAACATTCCAGCCATCTTATAACCTAACTAATCACTGTGAGGGTCATGAGAGTTTTTTTCACATTTCAGTGGATACCACCAGTTAACTCACATCCACTCCATGTAAGTTTATAATCTTTCAAGTTTTGGTTTGTTAGTCTCAACTTTTAGACTCAAAGCGAACTATTGATGAACTACATCATCCACTCTTTTTGCTACCAGGGGAAAAAATATCTAGATGAAGGATACCATATATTTTCACTCTAACACTAGTACATAAAACAGCATAAAGAAAGGTCTAGCTGATCTTTGCAGTCTCTCTTGAGAAAGGCAAATGTGACGGAGTATGGTTTGTCATCAACACCGGAAGGGTTTTCTTCTCAGAGAATGAAAAATTAAATAAAAGCTCCCTTCTGAGTACCAATAAGAAGAAGCAGTTGAAAATATATAATTAAGACTGTCACTAGTAGTCTTAATATAAATTTATTTAATTGAAAATTCTTGGTATTGCTCCTTATAGAGGTCCACAAGCATAGTTCCCGTAAGTACAGGCATCAGGGGATTTCCCTGATTAACTGTCCCTCTGTTGCAGATGAGAAGAATTCGGCAAGGATGTTTGCTTACATATAGTAGACATAGCAATAGGTCTAAGATTGAGCATAATCATATGGATAACATAAGGAGTTTTAACTTATAATTTTTCAATTATATATTGAATACCAAGCTGGATTTAGCAGCAGAAATAACTGACATTGAATCAAGCCCTTCTGAAAAGAAATAACAAGGTAAATTATCCCAGCTTATATGTCAAGATAAATCAGTTACTCAAGCATACCTACTTTAATTTTTGCAATCTATGCACATTTGGAGTGAATTTCCTTATTCTATTTTATAGCATTCAAAAATAGGAAAAAAAAGTCAGACATTCATGAAAAATTTGAAGAATACCTTTAAACTGAGTGCTTTAATCACTTCATCTGTGCTGCACTGCTCTACTAGATATACTTGGATTTGTAAAAAATCTACTTGCAAAATTCAAGGTATTGTAAGTGTATCAGGCTTACATCACCACATTAGAAAGTGGCAATTTTGATAAAGGAAGGAATCCATTGTTATGTGAATATCCACCCCTTAAACAGTTCTTTATTTCTTCTTTGCTTAGCTATGTTTTTGGAGTTAGAAACTATTCTAAATATAATTCAATTTTGGGTTATAAAATTATTTCAAGGAAAAAAATTAATCTCTACAAGTTTTAGTTTGTGACACTTCAATGCATAATATAGTGTCCTAAAATTACTTAAATGGGATGTGAAAAGAGTGGATTTTTGTGTTTGTGGTAATATATAATAGTTTTGTAAATAAAAAGGGATTACAATAAGATTCAAAGAGATTGTCTTTCACACACCTTTATAGAATTTTTCAAGTAAGAACTAACTAGACATTTCTAGGGTTAAGAACTGTTTAAACTTGCCATAACTAAGCTAAGAAAATAATGCTACCAGATATTATTTTGTAAAAATGCATGTACAATTTGATACCTTTCCACATAGTCCAGCAGTCGAGAGCAGTGATTAGAAGCAGGAGCATCATGACCTCCAACTGCATAAAGAAAGCCATCACAGGTAGCCACTCCTACACCTCCTCTTCTCTTGCACATAGGAGCACACATATTCCATTTATTTGTGTGAGGATCATAATATTCCATTGAACTCAAACATGAACTTCCATCCCGACCTCCAACCGAATATAACCTAAGGAAGTCCATGCAAATAAAAATGTTGACAAAACAAGAGCTCAGAATTGCAGAAAAAATTAAAAAAAATAGTAACTGCTTTTATATTCTACATCAGAAAATAGAAAAAAAGGAAATACATAATATTTGAAACCATGTGAATCTCATATAGTGGAAAAAACACAGATGTTTTCAATATTATTACCAAACTCATGTGCTGTTTAGTATTTTCTCCACCTGAAGAGGAAGGAAGATATTTCTTTCTGCTAATGCATATTTTCATTCTTTCTTTACTGCATATTCAGTCAAGAGCACCACAAGTGACATGCAGGTTTGTCTCTGTAGGTTTAAAAATCATGTATGCAGGGGAGAATATATTTTCATGTGGGCTCACCATCTATGAGATGGAAGTGGAAGTGCAAACTTATATCTGTTAATCCAGACAAGGAAGAAATATGCAGCCCATTTATTATAGTTTCTCTGTGTTTTTGCTCTGCATCAAAATATTAAGAAGCACAAAAAATATAGAAAACAAGATCTGATATTAAACAAATTCCACATAAAGATCTATTAATCGGAACACATTTTCAGCATGGGTTTTACACTTAGAATACAGTAGAGATCAAATATGAAATGTGTTGCAGATAGGACTATCACATTATGTTTTAAACATGGATTTAAAAAAATTACTACCTCAGTTTCAAGGCTCTTGCTTATGCTGAAGAAAATTCTTACCCACACTAACAGCAACATGTCTACTTTGCAAGACAATTATAACCCCCAACCACAGTGTCTTGTTTTTCTTCATCAGAATGTTTTATGAGGGTAGAGTTATGTTGGTAAGTCATGGACAAATTCTGAAGAGTATTTTAAACTTGAAATTATAAAAAATGTGGTTTAACAAAAATGATGTTGTGTTGGTAAGCCTCTGCAGGCAAGAAACTTGTTTCATTCTACTGTTTATAATGGGTCCCAGGAGGAAATAGTTCTGATTGTTCTTTCCACCTAATACCATGCTGTATTCATTCCACATGAACCTTTTTGCAGTCTGTTGCCTTTTATATAGTGCCTGGAGATTAACTAATAGAAACACGGGCTATTTTAAAGTCCAACCACTAAGCAATTTTGGATGTGAGAGCTGTCTCTGTAAAGCAATTACTCGTTTGGAAGCTTTTACTGTCCTAAGCACTCCATGAATTCAGAGCCATTTAAATGTGCATTTACCATTACATTTCATTGGTATGGAAGCTGATGAATAAGGAAGTGCTGTACAACCACTAAATATGTCACTGAAGCCTAAGAACATTTTGGTAGTGCCTGACAGACAATACCTGTGCTCTGACTAAAGCACCCAGGAGAATCCATACTCCTCTGTGAGAGATAATAAAGCAAATATACTTTTTTTTTCTTTGGATTCAGACCTAACATATTTAACTTTATCTATGATTATCAGATATCTACAGATGAAATCAACATTAAAGCATCCAACTCTGTTAATCTGTGGATGTCTACAGTGTCCAACTTGCTGTTACACTCAGAGTAGTCATCTGAGCCTAAAGAACAGCACGAAAAATATTTAAATATGTGAGCAAAAACATTTACATTAATATAAATGTAAATATAAACATTTACATATAGGTGTCTGCAAGGATCTTATCTTTATTTTCAAAGATGTGACTCGGTTCAGCTTCCCATAGACAGTGTTGAAACATTTTTTGTGACATTTAAGTTATGTTGACATTCCATCCAGGCTGAGAGATATGGAAAATAGTACAGTACAAAACCCAGCAGAAAAAACCATGACTGCTGGCACCCTGAAGCCAGTAGACAACTACATGTCAGTAAGTGAATTGATCCCCAAAACTATAAACCAGGATTAAGATTTCTGAGATTGTCAAATGTATTTCCAAGCAGATATTTGGACACATAAACACTGAACACCATTTAAAAAATGCCAAGAACCAACACTTCTGCAGACTTGAGTGCAAATAATCTTGTGTACCTCTAGTCAAAATCTCCACCAATTTGATATTTCTTCTGGCATGAAAAGTTCCTATTTATTCCATCATCTTTCAACTGAAATAAATCAATAAGCTGATATTTGCACACTGAAAGTAAAATACACTCTCTCATTCCTCTATTCCAATTAAGTCAGCAAATAAAATATAGCTGAAGGCATTCTTGAAAGACTCAAGAATATCTTTCTGGTAAAAAGACAGCAAATGCTGTTCATAAGTAACTGATAAAAGTGATTGGGACCACCTAGTCTGTCGCTAAAATGCTCTCAGCTATTCAGAACAAAATTCATTTTAAAATCATATTTTGGAATTAACATTTTAGAGTTTGATTATGTTTCTATTTTTTTCTCTAAGGAATCATTAATTTATTATTTTTTTTTTTAATTTCACAAAGGTAACATAAAAATAGTTCAGACAAGAAAAAGTTGGAAATGAAGTAACTGTTTAAAGCTCTGGTTGTGGCTGAGCTTGAGCAATTCGTTCAGAAATTGCTTCCAGTCTTCAGTCAAATTTCCAAATCTGTATTCACAAAGGCCCAAAATGATTGGAGAAAAGCTCTGCAACAAGCACTGAATATTCAGGATACTGAAACAGGAATCTGAAACTTTTGAAATACTTATAATTAAAGCTATTTAGTAGTCTTGCTTCCCCTTTTAGAGCTTAGGATGTTATTTTATTAGATGACTTAAAAATTAAACAATTTTTTCAGATTTGTCCAGCTTGTCAAAAATTTGTAATATAATTTCTATAGGGAAAAATATAATGTATTTCTCTGAATTAACTGAATTACTCTTCATGGTATATCCCATCAAAACTAGAATGATTATAAAAATAATAATCATATATCCCTCCTTAGAGAGCAAGACCAGAAAGGAAAAGAAAGCATCCAGTACTGATCATTTTTATCTTCACAGTGAAAGTTCTGCCTGTGGAGATAGTATAGATTTCTATTCCTAAATAGTCTACATTTCAGCTGATACAGACACTGTGCATAGATATGAAATTAGGCCAAGCTCAGCCTCTTCTGTCTTTTCAGGGTTTTGTCACTTCTTTTACTAAGATGGAGAGAGATTCCTGAACATTTGTATATATATAACCATATGTATAATTGGCTAGAAAAATGAAGTAGAGGTTTCAAAGCAAGGAAACATTAGGAGAAATCCTGACCAGCTGGATCAAAAGCATTTATCTCAGTTCTGTCACTACAAACCTTTGATAACTACTCAGAAAAGACAGTTTTAAATTCAGTTTGACAAGCCAACCTCAAAAGACCAGATTACCTTTGATGTGAGGTGGGTATGGCTTGTGAAACCAGTTGAATCATGCCCTTTCTGCATTTCTTAATAAGGTTTTCCCTTTCTACATTCTTTCACTCTGAATATCAAAGACCTTATCCAGTCTTTTGCTTAGACCCTTTTGTACCCTTTTCTGGCCTTTCAGTGTGTCTGAAAGAGCAGCAGAGAATTACTCTGGCACAAAAGACATCTCCTTTGTAGGACTGAGGGTCACAAATAATTTACATCGGTGCTGGACTACTGTGTTGCTGAATCAGTCCCTACCTGGCCTAGAGAGAGATATTTATCCATGCTGCCTTGATTAAGCCAATGTGGCTCACTGGCAAAAGTTGAAAATACAATAATTTTGTGAATGGAAAGCATTAATGAAGTCTTATTTCTGTTTGTAAATTTGGAAGGTTATTTCATGCATTTGTAATGCAGTAGGGAAGTAAATCAAAAGTAGAATTTCATCCCCCAAAAATGGAAAAATATATAGTTATAGAGTAAGTTCCTGGAATTGAACTCCTACTTAGTAGTAGTAGTAGCAGTAATTACTACTAAGTTAGATGGGGGCCCTGAGAACTTGATCTAAGGGCTGGTGTTTCTGCCCATGAAAGGGGATTTGTAACTTGATGATCTTTGAGGTCCCTTCCAACCCAAGGCCTTCTATGATTCTGTGACATAAAATATTGAGAGAAAAACACCCTTTGCATGGATAATATTGTTATGAAAAAGTTTGACTTCCTGCACTGGCAATTTTAGTTTCCTAATAGAAAGAACTTGTTTCAAGCAATTTTAACTGTGATCAGAATTATATGGTCTACATTCTTTATGCAAGACCATGGACTTAATGCAGATTCCACCCATTAAAGAACATTCTTGACTTTATCAGGCTATAAAGTAGGTATGGCAAAATAGTCTTTGTAAATTCATCATTTACTATAGCATGTGCATGAGGACCTTTATTTACTTTATTATTAAGACACACAGTGAATCTTTCAAAAAATAAGAATTTTTAGTGAATCCAGTTGTTCCATTTTTTTGTCTCAGTATCCATTTATTTAATGATTTTGACTAAAATATTTTAAAATATCTACACTTTTTTTTGTAGTTTGCACAGTTGAGGAAGAATAATTCCGATATGTGTCTCATTTTTCCTATAGTGGGATTCAGAATAAAAAAAAGAGTTTGATTTAAACCAGAAGTTAACAAACATCATATTTATAATACAGCAGCAGCATAAAAACTGTAATAAAAGAACATGAAATAACCTCTCAGGATTCAAATTAAGTTATAAAACTATTTATAGGCCAAAGTACATTTAGAGTAAAACATAGTAAGAACAGAGAAAAAATTTTCAACCAAAAAGATTCTAAGGCTGGTGACTGGTCCGCTAGTCTTTGAAGTATGTTTGTTATTCTTCCCATTGCAAAAGAATTTCACAAAGTTCATTAATAATAGCTAATAATTTCCTAAGGCAAATTTGAGATACTGTCTGGCTAGGTAGATGATGTAGATGAAAGCAGACATGTGACAGCATGAATTTTTTTGACAATAAACAGCGCTGCTGTAATTTAGCAGCATGCAAAATATCTGCATCACACTTAATATACTGATTTGCTTGTAGTTAGTGACAATATTGTGGGCAGAAAGCATGCACTTTAAAACATTTTCTTTTCTCCTTACATGACAATAACTATGTCTGCCAATCAAGATATTTTTTC